TCGATCCATTACAGCTACCTCTTGAGCAAACCTGGAAACAATCTCGAATTTCGGACATCTCACGATCAACACAACGATTCGCAATTACCTTTGTACTGTCCTGACATGGCAGTCCATCCTCTTTTGGTGGAGATGGAGGGCACTGGGCAGTAAGCCCGTTACACCACTGCGTCTCACTACACTCTGATTCCTTAAAAACATACATTCATCCCTGATCAGAATTGAACTTGTCTTTGAGATACTTACCTGACGGCAAATTTTATAGTCGAGCGCTTGATGCAGTGAACAGGTCTCGGAATTGCAGCAGTAACCTTCAGAGGGAGAGCATTTGGCTCCATTCTGAATGATTAAATTAACATAGATGCCAATCGATTAGCCTGACCTTCTTGTTATGCCTTTTTGTATTCATTCTGAATAACGTAAACAGACATATCGTAAACCTCAACCCAAAGAACATTTTGATGGTAGGAACTAACATGTTGTACCTCATGCTTGAATGTGTTTTAATGTTTTTTTTTATATTTCTCCTATCATATTCCGAAAGACTTTCATAATATGTTATTTTAGAATTAAAAACATAGTGGTTCAAATATGGTAGGCTACAGCTACACAGTTAACCATGTCTGCAGACGGAAGTCCAGTATATTGCCTTCCATTATGAGAACTAACATGCCACAAAAAACGTTTTTTTGGACATCGCCAAAATAGATCACCGACATGATCACAACCCTTCCACAGACGCTGTGTGCAACTTTTTCCTGTTCTAAAGTAAGAATATACGCCCACAAGTGTTTGAGAATAGCATTCATATAGCGCTCCCCTCATTCTGATGTGAAAGTGCAAACATAGCTCTTTCAACTTGCAGTCTCACATTGCGTGATTCAATCACATGACTTTCATTAGTTTTGTTCCGATGTCAAGTTGGCAATAAATGGGCAATGAGTCAGCACTAACCAGAATAAACAAATAGCGTTGACCCACCTTTCGTTTACATGGCCCTCCACTCAAACTGAAACCGTTTCGGGCTGATTCATGAGGCGTGCAACATTTGTCGCCCATTTGGTCACAGTCAGCTTGCGAGAATCCACAGTCACACTCCTCACCAGGTTCGTGGATTTGATTTCCGCAGAACGCTGATGTTCGCTCTAAAAATAGAGCTCTCTTTCGCATGCCGAAAGTAGGTTAAGAGTACAAAGAAAAACAAAATTCAAATAAGCAAGCTTGTTCAACCCTACTGAGCGTCAACTGATGGTGACTCTGTGTTGAGAAAGATTTTTGAAAAACACTAAATAAAAGGGCAGGGAACTAATTCAAAAGACTGACCAATTATACCACAAGAATCAAAAATGATAAACCCAAATTAGTAATTAGTAACTATCACAACTTGCAATTCACCTTGGAAGCAGTTCCTTTTCATCAACGCTCCGACAGGTCCAGCATGGCGAGTGGGATCAATGGGCACGGATTGCAGTACAACATGCAGAACACTCGAGATATTCGCTACCGAACATGGTGAGAATTTCGCGTTGTTAACCTTGTCTCCAGATGTTGCCGATGCAAACATGATGAAATTCCCGTCCGGCAGACCCGGTTGACATTCTACAACAGCACCTTTGCAATTATTGAAAGCCAAAGAACACACGAAAAATTTCTAACCTAGAGGAAAATCATGGGGAGAGCCGAAGTTATGTCCGATCTCATGAGCAAGCGTCAACTGTGAGACTCTTGTAGGCACACGATTCCCGTAATTAACCAGTGTTACAATTCCCGTATTCAATGAGCGAAATACCCAGCCTCTCGAACCTTCATTGTATCGCTGATAAATCTGGCAGATGCCACCCGCCGTATCTGAAAGACGAAACATTGAGCGATTTGTCGAAATCTGCCGCGTGATTGATCTCATTATATATACCGCCTAAGCGTTTACTAAATTCATAACACTGTCACAGCAACAGTGAGAACTTGAATAATACACGTGGCATCGAGGTCGAAAGGGGACACAAAAGATAGGGTAGTGAGTTCTAGCAACAGATAGGAGTTAATTCCACCTATTTCCTTCCGCCCTTGCGATGACAGGAAGACTTCGACTCTTACATGTAATATATGGTTTGAATGGGGACGCAGATTTTAGATGATAGAGGATGTCCCACCAGAGAATGCTTTGAACTTCTTATGGACTTTTTGAGGAGACCTTATATGTATCTATAGAGCCTTGAACGCTGATTACATGGACACTAAAACTGCTACGTGAACTTCCTAAGAAAGTTATGAGCCTTCAAAGTTGGCAAAAAACGTTACTGAGGCGAGCTTACCTGATGGAATAACAGCCGCCGTGGCTCTGCGCCGAAAACTAGTCTATATTCGTGATCGGGGCACTCTACCCATATAGATTAAAGGCAAGATTCGGGATAAAATAGGTGTGGAAAAGCGTTCAGTTATGAAGCTATAGGTGGGAGGTGGTCTGTAAAAGAGAAGGAAAGCAAACGAAACCACCGATTACGCCCCGTACAGAGACCTCCCCTATTTCAGCCACATTCCACCTTGGGATAGAGAAGAGGCGCGTTGGACGAGTTTCACGAACCTAACTCTAGTTGCTCCAGTGCCAATGACATTGGTCGCAATGGGACCGCTGCCTCAAATGCGTTGCGGGTTGGACGAGCTCCTTGCGCCTTTGTCGCGCACTTTCAAGCCGCAAAAGGGGCGACATCAACACTTGTCCGCCTGCCTACTACCCCCTGGATGGAACAGGCGAGCCCGCCTGATCGCGGAGCGTGCCTTTAAGTTCCAGGCAAGAAGCAACTTCGTTTCCACATAGGTTGCACCTCATCATTATTAGAACTACCAATTATTAGAACTTTTCAACTTTTGAGGCCCACGACTTTTTTTACAAAGTTCACGTAGCAATTTTAGTTTTCATATTTGTAATAAGCGTCCAAAACTATAGGTGCACCTATCTCGCCTTTCAAACTTCCGTGAGAAGTTCAAAACATTCTCTGGTCAGGCAGAGGCTGACAAGGGGGTTAGAAAAAACAGAGTCGAAAGCGCAAACTGATCCGCTTCACTCAAGTTTTAAATATTCACTGAGTGAACATTACTTGTTGCTTCTGCCTGATTAGGTGGGGTGATGGTATGTCACATACGATGACTAGTTTCGTTCAAGTCTAACATGTTCTACGTGCTGTAGCGCGTAAAGCTGAA